CTAAATATAATGAGTTCATTAAATCCCTTAACAATCAGTTCTGTGTAATCAAAAATCACTCCTGAATTTTTATTGGCTTTCTCATTGATATGTAACAATGAGATAAATTGTTACCATTTATTAATCAGTGAAACTTCTACAAGAATATCAAGAAAACATTAGCATCAGATATCTTTCAGTTCCAGATTGTCCATGTATATATTTATTAAGATAAGGTATTTATTTAGTGGTAGTTTAACAAGTTTGTAGTCAGTTATAATAATAAATTCACTGAATGATTAAGCTTATGTTACTACAAAAATATAAATAATTACTTTAACGAAACGTTTCCCACTCGCAACTTTTAATAAATCTTTGACTAAGGTGAAAGGAAATTTAAATGTTTTAAGTGAAGATTTACATAAAATTCTAATTGGTGCACTAAATTAAGATATCTTCGGTTAAAAGTTAATTAATAAAAAAAAGAAAGAGGGGAACATATATGTTCTACGAAAAAGCCAGTGTTAAAAGTAACTTGGTTTATATGCTCTTAAGAAGACATGAAATTTATTACTCATAATGTCAGCCTTTACAAAAGGGGAATCATTATGAATTCACTGTATTTCACCCTGGATGGACGGAAATATCGCATATAGTTTATCACTAGTTCAGTGGTCGAATTAAACCTAACCACGCTCTCATTTTCATTAATTTAACTAAATCCTTAGGCGTAACATGCTAAAAGTTCTAATCCAATAACCTTTTCTGTTATCCAATGGATAAATCTGTTTACATTATCCGTCTTGACTTCACAGCCCACTCACTTTTGTGTAATAAGTCTATACTACTAAATAGTATTCAGTAACACGCTTCGTTTCTAAACATTTTTGACAGTAGTGAGTGGTAACATGGAGCTAAGACATTCTGTTGACTGAATTTTCCCAATACATGAAACAGGTACTTTTAATTACAGTGCATTTAGTGAACTTTTGTTTAATTATTATACTTCCCATATTTTTTTTAAATTTGTCGTTATCGTTTTTACATAGTCTATCATTGTAATTTCGAGGTATTAGCTATCACTTTATATCTTTTTGAGAACGCAATTTTCTCGGATTGTACGCGAACTCAGTAAATATCGCAAGCGCTCTAAGATTTGAGGTTTGTAGTGTATTACATATAATTTTGTAATAACAATACCTTATTGCAGATAATCTTGTATTTTATATTGCAGTGGCTGACGTGTGACTAGATCGTATCGTCGAAGATTCGATAAAGATTTAACAGACTATATCACGCAGACTTATGAGAGTTTAAGAACACAAAATCTTGTCCGTATTTATTTCATAGCTTCTTCCGTACAAAACAGCGCACTCAACAAATAACCAAAGAAATTACTAGAAAACGGGACCCCAGAAACTCTGCATAAATGTAAATGGAGAATTCTGAACCGTAAATTCATCGTAAAATTAATTCGATTAGTTTCCTTAGTAAGAATGAGTAAAGTTAACTTACCTACTTACGCTTGTTACTCCTAATGGAGGGTAGGCCGCCGACCAGCATTCTCCAACCCACTCTGTCCTGGGCCTTCCTTTCCAGTTCTATCCAATTTTTGTCCATTTTCCTCACGTCTGTCTCCATTTCTCGACGTAATGTGTTCTTTGGCACGCCGTAGTTTCGAGGAGGCCTCCATAGTGTTGTCCTGTCCACACTATCAAATGCTTTCTCGTAGTCAATAAAGTTGATGTAGAGTGATGAATTCCATCCAATTGATTGTTCCACAATGATCTGTAGAGTTGCGATTTGGTCTGTACACGATCTATCCTTACGGAATCCACCCTGTTGGTTTCGAAGTTGGGCGTCTACCCAGTCCTTCATACTGTTTAACAATACCCCGTTGAAGACTTTTCCTGATATTGAGAGAAGAGTGACGTTCCTGTAGTTTTCACACTTGCTGAGATCGCTTTTCCTTGGTATCTTGACCATGTGTCCTTCTTTCCAGTCTGTTGGTACTTGTTCCTCATCCCAAATCTTATTGAAGAGAATGTGGAGTATCCTTGCATTTACTACTACATCTGCTTTCAGTGTCTCTGCTGGACTGTTGCCTTGTCTTGCTGCTTTGCCGCTCTTGATTTATCTGATGACCGCGCTGATTTCTTCAATTTTTGGTGGGCCAACCTCCGTGGGTGCTAATTCGATGTTGGGTGGGTTCAGTGGGGATGAGTAAAGCTAAGACAACAACTAAACCAAAATAGCATGAATTCATCATATTTCGTGATTTCTCGTAGCGATTAAAAAACTCACTAGACTTATGTACTTAGAGATACAACAATAAATTGGCCACTGCCTTGGTGCATTCACAATTTCGAGTAAAGTCGTTCCTAATTACCAGTAACATTGTTGTTATTATTCTCACTGCTAGGTATTTTGTTATGCCCTTTCAGTTAAGTTAGATGTCACTTCATCGATATTGAAATTATTCTCAACTCAACTGTGATTTCTACTTGCCTGATTTTCAAAATTTACATAAACTCATCCATTCTTCTAAAATTATTGTGCAATCCGTCCTATCAACTTTCGAATTTTAGACGATAATGATAGCTTTGTTGAATACTATAACTTTTTGCTATAGTATAGAATTTTTTACCCTCAGATGTACATTATCACGACAAATATACTTCTAACCTGTTGTTGATTTGACTTCATATCTAGTCATATAAATATTTCCTGAATCAATCTCTAGATACGGTCCTGTGGGTGGATGTTCATAAGCTTTTGCATAATAATCGTCTATTCATGAATTTTGCTGTATTGAATTTGTCAGCTTTATTAATTACAAAAGTTCTGTCCTTTTGTAGTGAGTGAAGAGCTTTCAATACTTCTTTTTAAGTATTAGGTGGGATGGGTTCCCGTTTTGTCAAAATATAGTACGTTTTTGACGTAGTAAATGAGGATGTTTTTCGGCAGTTGTTCGGTTAGTGTTTTTAGAATCAGAATCATTTATAGGGTGACTGAGTGGCTTTTTATGTAAATTGGGATTCGGTCATTCCTCCAGTAGAGTGATTTCATTGTTACTGAGACTTTTGTCTAAAAGATTATAAACAATCCTAAGGCCATTAGAATTAGGTAGTATTATTGAAGCTTCCTTTTTTCTTCAATTTTTTCGTAATTTTTGGTTTTTTTGACATTTCAACGAATCCAAATAATGGCGTTCTCTTTTGATAAAAAGGTTAGAAATAGTATGACTGATATGTTTTAGAGTCTATACACTAGAAAAAGTCCTCTTTCCAAACATATTTATTAGATGTCGTTTCTTGAAATATGGTTTTTAAGTAACAGTAACAAAAACATTAAAAAAACTCGAATTTTAAGCTTGCATAGCAAACTCAGTAGTGATGTCTTGCCGTTTTAGCAGAAAGCACTTGGTAGTAAGGATAGAATGAGACAGGCACATCATAAACACAGTCTGTCACAGATATCCATCAGACCAAGTTGACATACCAGATTAGTACGACGAAATGAAAATAACGAGAGATCGTAGTAATTTAGTAAACCTTGAGAATATGGTTTGTAAAGACATGATAGGATACCGGAATTCAAGATCGAGAATATAAAGAGTGAATGTATCTACGCCATTGTGAATGATTGTAAGCCACTTCACCCAAAGTCTCTAACTACTGACAGCAGTTGTCACGAGAACCCTGACTACAAAATGGAGTGAAATATGTGTTGAGGTGATTTGAAATTGTTTGGGTTTTTTATGAAATTTTAACGCAATTAATCATACTAACAACATATACCAACAATAACGTAATTATTATTTGTTATTAATGGAAATATTACATGGAAATACACATTACAGCAATAACTTTGAATGAGAGTTATACTGAGAGTTGTGTACATCAGTCTCTTGAAGTGACTATGAATTATTACGCCAAAGTTTGAAAAGTATTTATTTCATCATTGTGATAGAAGAAAAATTATAATTTACCTTCTTTCTCTTTTTAGTACACCTAGGACGATTATCACTGTGTTTAACAGTACATATATTAATACAAATGATGGACAGCATTGGCATGACTGGTGGAGATGGATGGCTCTTTAAGTTTTGTATAAACCTTACTTTTATCCTTCATTGATCTAATACGTAACCCTTAAACAATTTCGATTTAACAATAGAATCGCGCTTCATTTCTGTAATATATCCGATGCCAATTTCCTAATGGTTTTGTTTCTTGATATTTGTTTGACTGAGGTTTAAATTTGAGTTCTGTGAATAAATCGTCATTTGGTCCATTTACCTGGTGATTACCGCTTATTGGTTTTTTACCTATATTAACAATAAACTGCTTTTTCATAATAAACAGAAATATCGAATAATGTACCGACATATGAGGTGAAAGTGGCAAAACTAGTCCGCAACCTAATAAAACTTGACAACTGAGCCAAAAAAATTTCCAAAGATAGTAACACAATTACATTTACTATCGAAAGAATTGTTGGAGACGATAGATCCCCGAAACTCATATTTTGTAATTTTATCTTATCGATTAACCTATCGATTAAATGTTTGAATGACAGTCAATTGATGAACCTATCGATTAAATGTGCAAATAGGTCAGTTGATGAACTATCGATTAAATGTTAAATAGCGGTCAATTAATGAACTCATTGATTAATGTTTAAAAATTTTCCATGACAATATCGATCGTAAATATTTGTATAAATACGCTTGATTTGTGTGCTTGACCTGACTTGTAATCTGCTGTTTGCCTGTAGAATACACTTTCTACGCCTCACCCAAACTTCTTGATCGACTTAGCTGAGTCGGGGACAGCGAACCACAATAGCTATCGAGTCGCTGAATCATTGACCCTTCGTTCCGTTTGAGTAAGACGAATCAGCAGTAGCATTCAAGTTAACGAATCATAACAAGAACAGTGAATACAAAAAATATATTTCAAACAGTATTACTCGAAGTAAATTATAAATTACATTCATGACTATGTACATGATGAGAGCTACTAGTGAGCAGTTCACAAACTGGTAGACGAACAAGAATGTTTAGAAGCGATTGTTTTCATTTTCCATGATTTTATAAGTGATGGCCATAGAAGTTCAGCATTGAGGCATGCAGGACATGAGGCAGACAAAGGTATCAAGTATGATATTTCCAAACGATCAGGCACAGTTTCAGCCTGAGTCATATAGTTTGCTAGACATAATAAGTGCCACTGACCAAGAGGACAAGAACTTGGACAAGTAAGTGGTACTGAAGAATCAACCTGCATTTTGAAAAGTATGCTTGAGATTAATGAAATAAAGTTAACGGCAAATACGGAAACGATAAGACAGTAACAACCATTTATGATTACAAAAAAACTAGGGAAGTTTGAGAACACTTATGTTATTGTTTGGCGAAGTCATGAAATATGATTATTTCTATCACATCAAGTTCAGTCAGTCAGTCAACTACAACGTAGGACCAAGCACATATATGCGTCGGTCCAAGTTGTCATACCTCATTAGCACAGCAATTATATCAAGTTAACTTATAAACGCCACATACACAAACACCTAATGTTATTTAATCGTCAATCTAAAATTTTTAATTTCAATGAAGCTGCATCAACGACAGATAGCGATAAAACCAACAATATCGGGAAGTGATTAGGTGAATGAATAGCAAAAAATTAAGATATAAAGAAGGACAGCGAGGATGAATTTTTGATATTTTGTCGACTTTGAAAGGAGGTTGATAGCTTTTAACCTTTATTCTCTAAAAGTTTGAGTCACGACCTGAAAGTTTAAATCCACCCATACATGTAAAAAGTGGTCACCAGCCACTTATTACACTGATAATATATTCTGGTTTAACAATATGATGCTGTTAGAATATATCCTTACCCAATTTAGTTTAACGCCTTGAAACCAATAGTCGATATACATGTGTAGTAGTTCATAACTACCTTAGTGGATTGTAGTCATAATTTCACTAATTCCATCCCAAATCATCGTCTAACCGATAGTATTCACTAAACCTAGACAGCTCTGTATGGGAATGGGCTATCAAATATGCGTACTCTTGGCAAATTTCATATTGCATAAGTAGAGAAATGAGTACTGATGGAAGATATACTTGGCCCTTAACAAATTATTTATCTCATCGGCCCAAAAAATGGCGAGTTGTGAATAACCGTATCACTATCCGTATCAATAATTAGTCAGCCATCAACCAACTAAGATCGATGTAAACAAAAAATGTGAATACATACGTATAAAATCCCTTTACTTCCTGCTTTGAAACTGGTAAGTAAGGTAAATATGTCCCAAAAAGAGATTTCCGATATGCACGGTGAAAAATGTATCCATAACTCGACTACGAAGTCATTCATATGCTCTAGGCTGATCAAAAGATCTCTAAGCAGAAAAACTTTATTATCTTTAGCAGTTGATGAGTAGCGATCAAGGGTAAAATTACAAATATTAATTCGGTATGATAGTCGCTTATTATAATGCTTGATGGCAATGACTATTTCTGTCATGCATTCAACCGGTAGTAGATTTGTTCAGTAAGACATTCGCCCGCGTTACAATTATTAATTAACTAACAATCATCACAAAGAAAATACATACATAAAAGGATGGTATTTCTCCCTACAATACATTGTTCGCAGCTACAGGCAAGGAGACTTGTAAGATATGAAGATTTGGAACTAGCAATTATAGTTGGTGTCGATTTACGTACCATCGGTTCCAGTCCGTTTACGATTATCACAAAAGTTTTGCTCCGCTATGTCAGAACTTCATGTATAACAGATACATGTTGGTAATGTGAATATTTTTGTAGAATACGTTTTATTATATACGACTACGTGATCACGGATATTTAAGTAGAAATATTTCAGTAGTTTACATATTAGATACGACTCCAATCGACAAACACTGCAACAAGACCCTAAGATTAGCAAGGTCCACCAATGTTTTAAGAGTAACTAACATGTCCTGCAAACCACAGTCTGCCTTCAATAGAACAGACAGGTAGTCATGTAGTAGCTATCATGAAACCTTGTGCTAATATCAGAAAGTACAGAAGTCCAGTCTTTTGCTAACAATAAAGCAAGAGAATCGAAACAAAATTGAAGTGAAAAATATTAATTTACTTGAGTGTTTCATGATGTTGCAAATGAATGGTAATGTTTCGATTTCCCAGTGTCTAACTTTATTAAACTGGCTTAAACTGGCGTTATTTATGTAGTCAGAAACTAAAATGCACGTCCAACACTTATAATTATTTCAATAAGTAATTCGATCGCGGATTCCTTAAATAACTACAAGCACAAATGTTCATTGAGCTAATACTTAAATCCTAATATATAATGATAAATTTTCACAAGCCTACGATTATACACTAACCAAATATTTTCATATAACTAGTCAGATAATTTTTGGTTAGTACAGCATACAATTTAACCAACTTAGACTTTCTGAAAATATGAAATTCCCCACTAAAAATTCTGCAAAGTTACTTGGTTGTATTGTCGGACTCCTTCATTACGAATAACGTTAAACCATACTGTAATGGTGTGTGTAAGTAGAACCTTCGAACTAACCTCGATTCTGATTAATATTTATCAGCTGAGTTTTTTAAATTACGATTGAAGTAAATCAACTAAATTTTTTTCACTCGATAAAATAACAACCACTTACTGAAAATGGAATGTTACAAATCTGACAAAGACCAAATGACGCGACTTTAGTACTGGGATTTTCTGAACAGTTTGAGTCAATGGGTCCAAAGGCTATTGGCATGTGTAGAGGAGGCACCAAATTTTCCGATAAATTACGTGCATATGACTGTTTGATCCACTGAATAGTTAAACCCAGACGGTTCCAAGGTCCTGAGCATAACATCAATGCTAATACGCGTAAACGGTAGTCAAAACTGGTTTCTCTTGATTTTCTAATTGGTAGGGAATCTTTGAGTCGACGTGATAAGTTTGGATTTTGCCATGCCCATTCAAACTAAAAATAAAGGTATGAGAAGTTTGTATTTTTATGTTATTTACTCTTAATGCAGATATCGCATTTGGGAACCCATAAACAATTAAAACCATTTCCCTGAAGAAGATTATTCAAAAGCACAATTCTAACCATGGTCCTTTACCAGCAGTGGACTTCGCACCACCTTTTAAACAACCAGCATTATGCTGTCGTATGCGCCTCTTAGGATTTACAGTAAAACCTATATAGGTTTTGCCACGGAACTTTGGGTTGAGGGACAGCAAAATATAGCATCCATAAAAAAATCCTTTAAAATCTTCTTCTTGAACATCACTGTCATCGAAACACTCAAAGCCATCCATCCTATATAGTCTGAATCACTAAAAAACAAATGTATTGATTTATATTACGGTAATGAAACGAAATAAGATCAAATATCAGGAACAATGAAATAAAACCAGTGTTAACAACAAAATAACATAATTTTCCCAAAACAAAGGCAAGTAAGACATACAAGAGTCAAGAAAATAAAGAATGGACTCTAGAAATTAAAGGATTCGATAAATTACATGTCATTAAGTTGTGTTTTCAAGTAAAACTGTTGGCTTATTGTGTATTTTTGAACGCAGAAACGCTAATAAAAGAGGTAGGTCTGAGTGATAATGCTACTTGAAAGTACAAAGTCGCTCCACTAGCCCTTAGAATATTAGTAGTAAATACTACTTTCCACGACCAAGAAAGGCAATACTAACGAAGACGAAAGAGTATTAATTTTCCTAACCAGAGAACGAAACGTTATGTATTATTAACAAATTATATTTTCCAAAGAGATGAAGCCGTTGGAAATAGATTATACTGTCCATGCTGTTCATATTGAATATAAACACGCTGAATAATCTAGTGAAACTCGTTATTCACCTCATATTTTGTTTGATAACTTTAAGTGGATTTAAACGGATAAGAATTCCCACATTTATCAGCCTTATGAGTGTCGAACACTATATGAATTCAGCCATAGTAAATCGCTTGATAAAAAAACTAAATACTACTTTAATAACAACCAAGGTAAATTTGTATCAAGTCCTGATGGAGTTCAAGAGAAATGTGTCTGCAAATGATTTTAATTGCGCAAGCCGTAAAAGCTCCATCTTTTGCTGGAATAAGGAAGACTTAATGACTCCTCAAGTACTCTTTGTAAACATTATTTATAAATGCTATGAGGGTAAGCTATTATTCTAATCTAACTTCAGAATGCAATGGTTGGAGACTCTTGGGGACATGGCTCAGAATCGATCACAATGGCGTCGGTGTATACACTCTCTGTCTTTCCTTAAACTAAGAGATTAAAATCGCTTCATATCTTTCTTTCTACGAACTAATCCTTTCTTCCTGTACTATGTCCTTATTGCAATCTTTCTTTTATATATTACCACCTCTAAATTAACTACTTTTATGAATCCGGTGTCCATTTTGTTGTGTAAATGAAGTATGACAACTTGGACCGATGCATATATGTGCCTGGTCCTACGTTGTAGCTGACTGACTGACTCAGAATGCATAAGATTTTTACAATCGGATAATAAGAACAGAAATAATCATTATTCATGAAATATAGAACACTGTGTATTTCTAAAAACACATATATCGTTTACCATGCATTTTACAAGACAATTTGAAATAAGCATAAGTTTAAAACACAAGGTTCGGGATAGCCTTTGAAAGTAGGGTTTTAAAAATTAATCGGAATAGGGAATGAAATTTACAGCACATGCAACATCCATTAAACTTCGTTTTACGATCAAATAAATGAAAGCACCAACTGATACAGCAAGACAAATATATGACACCAAAACTGGTGAAAATGTGACGAACAAATCGTACTTCATGAGTATTTACGAATACGCGCAATTCCTGAAAATATTGCGGCAAACAATATTTGTTGACTTTCAATAAACGAAACGTCTGACTCTGATAATGCGAGGCTCATCATTTACTGATCCATTTATTCAACGTATCTGCTCATTTTGAAGTAATGTCTATCATAACCATTTTTATGAAATCTTATTTTACTAGTGAAGATGATGAGATACGTCGATACACGGAAAAGTACTTAGAGGTTATCGGAACATCGCTAACAAGCGTTTGGCATGGGGTCAACTCGATCTCCTGATTCTAAGGAAATTTTATCAGTTTCAAGGAAGTCACAATAGAAACTTTTGGTGAAATATTTCTCCATACGAGAAAAATACCTCGAAATTCCACCTGGTCTCAGGTTTTAATCTGAAATCTCAGATTATTTTGTGAGAAGATACGCATTTCTCACTAGACTTAGGAGAAAACCCTAAAATTTCGCCAAATTTCGGACATTGTGAACCTTAAGGTTCCCACTTTTTCAAAAATTTTGCGCCATGCAGGTGGGTTATTTGTACTGTCCACAATTACGATTAATGCTTTTGTTCAGTGGCTACAGTTAATTGTTTCATTTAGACTATGAGAACCGAAGTTCAGTTGGTGTTTGGAGAAGTAGGAACCGCCGTAGCTTCAGAGCAGTGTAGCAGTATTGTCTTACATTCGGTCACTGACTTATGTAGTTATGTCCAGTGTACAGCCAACGGTATAGTTAAGGTTTCTTTATTAACAAGTTACAGATGGTGCAACTTCCGAAATGTCTCCACCTGTTCATCTATCAATGAAACAACATCTAGACAGAGTTGTAATTGATATGATGAAAGGTGACATTACGGTTAAGAAGGCAAACGGAATTCTGGACCTTTCGCGGGTGTAAATTCCAGAACTCCCCAAGTCCGTAAGAAGTGTACTACATCGCTGTCATAACGCGGAACCGAAGCTTCTGGAAACAGGAGTTCACTACCATAATGGGTTGAAAACAAAGTTGCTGAACAACGAACTGTTTGTTTATCGTGATGTGACCCTAACCGATATTCGTGATAGTATCGATTGCGACAGTAGCTTTTGTTTCAGAAAATGCACAGTATTACATCGTTGTGGTAAGTTATAGTCACTTTGATTTCATTGTTTTTAGATGACTACCATATTGCTGATGGATTAATAGAATCTTTTACTCGGTTACAAATGCACCCGACGATGGCACGTTTCCGTATGGAACAGAGAAGCCGAAAAGTTAAATTGCTAAACGTGCACAATTCATTTATTGTTAGGACTGTAAAACGCAAAATGAACGATTACTTGTGCACCTCTGAAGAACTGCAGGTTGCTGAAATGGAAGCTGTATACGTCACAGTTGACTTACCAACTGGAAATTCCACTGGGACGTTTTCGTGATTAAAGTTCATAATTATATTGAAAACATTTTATTTTTATTTTACCTTCAAAGGTTCTAAAATGTACTGGTGATGAAATTTTTGTCTGAAAAACTGCGCAACATAGATTTGGGGTGTTTTCCCGAAATTTACTCAAAATTTTGGAGAAAGCTATTAAACTTTAAGGATTTCCTAAAAGTTGGGAGATTGGGTTTCTATACCGTTGGTACGCCATCAACCTTTTACATGACAATCAGGATTCATAAGTTTGGTGATTGCCATGACACTTATTTGCTCTCATAAGAGTACTTTTTTTTCTTTTGTACAACACACTGACTGAAAGTTCAACATCAACTCAATGTACTTATTCAAAGCACGAGCAATCATTAAGAACTAAAACTAATGCACTAATTGAAAGTTTTTACTTTATTAAAATTGAATAAAGATTTCTATGTATAACGCGTTAGTCTTTTAATTATGGCAACAGATTGGTTTTTGTTACCAATTGTAGTTATGTTGCTTTTGAACTGTGTTGGAATACATGAGTAGAAGCTCTTGGGTACTTATTATTAAATCTCCAGACCTTTCTGTGATATCTATTGAGAATTGTGGAAAAATACTGCGTTAAAACGAGATGCTTTGGATTTCCCCAAAATTACGGAAAATTTCAAGGTTTTAAAACCCTGATAATTATCAGTAAATAGACGGCTTTCCTAAAAGTGTTGTAAAATTCTGGGTTAATGTAAAGGGGGGTCCCCGGTTTTGCGAAATTTCTGTTTTTTTTGATGCCATTTCCCCAAAATTTTGCGGATCCCTTAACGGATCAAATTTTTTCCCAAAATCGGGAGATTGGGCAGCCAATTAACAGATTTGCTAAACACTAAGTTGAATAACGTACTAGGAAAAATTGAAATAATAAAATAATTTTTTTCGAAGTATTGTGGGAATATGAAATCCTGCTTCAGCTTGAGGAAAACTCGGCTAAAACAACCAATAAGAAATTGTGATTGAAACCACCGCTTTTTTATTTCTGCGACCTTTAGCTGCTTGCTCCAAGACCGATTTCATATTTGATGTGTTGGTTCGGTAGCGTTTTTGTAGTGTAGCTTGATTTAGTAACGTATGAGCCTTTAGGACGTTCGTATATAAATATATATTATATATATCGTGTGTTTATGTGTCTTTCAGCTGAAGAAAACATTTATGTTGCATCTTTTAAGTGTCAACCTGAAGCTATCACTTTCGGCTTGAAATAGATGGTAGACTGGGCGGTCTGTGTTAGTCCTGGTAATGGTGGTCTCTCGGTTGATCCAAGTTCCTTTTGAAAGTGTCAATAGATGGGGTTTCAATAACGTATTGAGCTAATGATTTCCGTACGTTGGTGATTCGACCGGAAAGTCGATAGTCAGCTGACAAATCATTTGAATATTTTGTAGTGTCCTTGCGAATTCTCTGTTCTGAAAGACAAGAAAAATGCACTGACAGTCTATCTGGAAACAATCAACTATGTGAATAAAATCACTATGACTTGAGATATCATCTCAGCGTGCAATGGACGTACAGTGTAACGCAGTCAGACGTGGCGATAAAAATTAAAAACAGAGAAAAATTAACCACATAATCTAGTTATTTAATTAAAAATACATTATGAAATGACAAAATATGTGGTTACTTGAACGCACAAATGACAGTGTGCGATACATTAAGTTTACATTGGTTGCGTTGCGGATAAGATCACCCGAAAAATGAGGGCATGTTAGGTGCAAATTTATCATTAAGTAACTTGAAAACTGTGATCAAGTCACTTCTGGTTCCTCGAAACGACAATGGAAATAGATTTAGTTCAGCCAGTTAAGAAGCATACGGGAGCTGTGCTATTCCATGAATCGGCTTAGCTGCGGTTCTCTGAACCTTTTTCAGCAGCTTTTTGTCTCTTTTTAGATAAGGGCTAGCCGCTTGTACGCAGTACTCGAGTTTAGGACGCACGAATATTGCAACAAAAAAACGGTTATCTGTACCTAGTCGACCAATATGCATTATATTCTATTTAGATGCATTTTTCGTTAAAATTCTCCGCGTCATTTTGAAGCTTAAAGCTATCACCTTTACTTATTTTTATCGCCCTCCATATCTTGGCATTGTCAACATATAAGGAAACCGATTATGATAGAAGACTAGGAAGGTCATTCACATATAGGAGGTACAATGCAGCCTCCAAAACTGTACCCTGAAGCACTCAGTGAAGCAGTTTCCCAGCTAGAGAGCTGTGGGTTCACCCGTACTCTGTTAGCGCCCAACTAGAAAGTCCTTTATTTGTATTAATAAATTGCCTACAATCTCAGTATTACTTAACTTATATAGCAGTCGATTGCGAGGAAATTAGTCAAAAGCTTTGTTAAAGTCTATGCAGGCTACGTTCGTAAGTAAGTTTTGGTCTTTAAAAGCACAATAATTTTCACGGGCTTCTAACAAGTTAATCAAGTAGGAATAACTTACTCTAAAGCCATCCTGCTTTTCGAAACGAATCCGGTTTCCGGAGAGATATTCAAGCAACTAACTGTGAACAGTCTTTTTTAAAATTTTAATTATCTCTATAGTTAGGCTTACGAATCGATAGTTCTCAAGTTTATGTCTCGTACCTGTTTGGAAGACAGAACTCACTATAGCATCCTTCCAGTCGTCCGGTAATCGGCTCTGGGTTTAAAATAAATTAAAACATATACTTAAGGGATTCGCAGCGAAAGCCGTTAGTTCCCTTATTAGCCTAGAATCCATCTCATCGGTTCCAATACTTTTGTTTAAATCAAGCTCACTTAGCAGGCCAAACACGTGGAGTTCTTTAAAGTCCACAATGTCCCGTGTATGTGTCTGTGTGGGGTTGCATGTACTGAAGGGAGGAGGGGCTTTACGGTACACACATTTCTAATGTAGTTTAGGAGTACCTGGGCTCTATCATAGTTGTCCTCCACCAATGAATAAGTACTACTGTCACCACATGGTGCCAGAATATTTTCTCCTCTCTTAGTCCACTGGTTTATGTGCGAATATAATCGTTCAGGGCATTCTATAGATTCTTTAACAAGCTGTTCTTTGTACACTCTTCTAAACCCGAGCATCCAGATTTTGAGATTTTGTCTTGCCGGTATTCGGGCGCCTAAATCTCTTGAACATTCTTCTCATCTTACGGAGAAATATATGAAACTTTATCGGATCACTGTTCAGTGACTCCTAGGCACAAATTTCCAAACACATCCCAAGCCACCTCAACTGGAGACTCTGGTTCTACTAACCAGTCTACTGCGGATGCTGGGTGTATATTATAATAATAATAATAATAATAATAATATATTTCTGCATGTGCAGGTACACACCGTTTTTACAGGCATGATCTATAAATTACAACATTTGTTGGTTCGCAAAATGCTTCCCAACTTATCTTGTATATTTGCTTTCCAGACACTGGGTTTGGGTTGGGCTGATGCATGTTCGTTCATGACAACTATATGGAAATCATAATTTGAAACTTCATGATCACTTTTACCTAGAGGTGGCATATGGTGGAGGTCTGTAACGTCATCCTCATAATGGGTCAGTATGAGGTCTAGTAAGAATGGTTTAGAGTCCGGGTCCTACCTAGCTGCTTGTTTCACATGTTACACAAGAGCACATGTGATAACCGCACCAACTAGTTACTTTTCAAGGGAATTTTCTGACGATTCGGTTCTCGGCTTTTTCCAATATACCGTAGGTGGATTAAAGTCTACTGAATTTAGACATCAACCAATTGTTGAACATATCTCGAAACCGTTCAACAAATTCTCAATCACCTCACAGTTTGGAGTAAACCAACCAGCAGCTCTTGTACTTTTAATTTCAAACGGCAACTGACAAATCCATTCTCATGGGATACTTTATCAATAACGGTAAATGGAATAGTACTTCTAATGAATAGATTTTCTTCTCATTTTTTCTTCCGGATCGTGTCGGCCCTTACTAATGTAGAACTTTAAAAACCAAGTTCCCCGTTGTCTACGGATTTGATCATGTAAGTCTCTGTGACAGCAATTACATCCGGCTTGGCTGAGTCTATCTGTACACCTAGCTTCAATCGCTCGTTAAACACGCTTTGGGTATTGCGTAACATCCGAGTACCATTTAAATGGCTTCGTCCAGAACCCAGAAAAGCCTCGGCATCATTCTCTGAGGAAGCCTATCAACCCGAAAATTTACGATTTCGATGTGTTTTCGCTAGCATCCGGCTTTTGTTTTAGTTCTTTTTCAGCTTCTCGATTTTTTATACGGTCCGCGAGCAACGAATCCTTACGGATAAAAACTTTTGACCCATTTAGTTTACGTTCAATCTATATTATGTAGTCCCTTTTATTGGGAGGTTTAAATAATATTTTTAGCAGCCTGGCTTGATCTTATTTCAAGTCCACTTGGCTACCTAGTCTATAGATCTTTAGCAAGGTGATTCCGGGGATATCCTGAGGCATTAGCTAGTTTGATAGCTTCCTTATCAACTCAACTTCCTGAGCAAAACGTGTTCTGGGTTCCAGGCCTTCACTCTTCTTGACATTATGAAAGACAAATAACCTGTCGTTATGACCAGTCTTCAAATTCTCAGTTACTGTTTGGAGGGCTGACCTTCCCTTCTTACTTATGATCTGTACCCATTTAAAAACATCCATGAAAGTAGCAACCACGGTTACGTTACACCCATCGTGGCGTCCTAGACGATTGTCGATGACCTGGATAGTCCCGATTTTGTTCTCTCTGCTAGAAACAGACCTAGTCTTACTGCTGGATTTTCTAATCATTAGCTTCTGGCTGACATATGAGGGGCGGGGGATAGAAGAAACTTTCTTCCTTGGGCGTATTTTTCTGCCAAACCCCTTTGAAGTTGGTCCTTCCTAATTTGGCCCACGTATGACGATGTATTCTGGGCTCATTTGAGGCAATGTAACATTATTTGGTGTGGCGACCGAGCTAGCATTGTTTGACGTGTCGCGACTACGCTTGTTAATACTCATTTTATCAGCATTCACTTTTGCCGTGGCTTCGGATAGCAATCTGTTTGAGCCTAAGCAGCACTACTGATAAGACCACACACAACTATTTTGCTAAACCATTTAAAAGTCGCAGGCGTTAGATCTGTGTAAACTTCGTAGAACCATCCCTTGCACTCAACGCACTAAATTTCATTTTTCACAGGGTATCAACACCCTTGAAGTTGAAAATTGTTTTTTCGAGCTGTCCAGCCAATAATCGTAGGTTTTCAAAGAATCTAAGCACAAACAATACCCAGAGACGAGAAAATTTTGACCAGATTAAGTGATGAACTGTAAATTGTAAGGAACTAATAGAAAAATAACTAATGTACTCAAAGGTTAATTGCCTTTGAATAAAACGACACCCTTGTCAAGTACTTTACTTGTAATAAATTCAACTAAAGTTAAAACAGTAGTTTTGATGGTAATTTACGATTAAAACAATAAAATCATCTCAGTGAGGAAAAATTCCAGCGTCTGTTTTAAATAAGGCACTTTATCAGTAGGTGAGTTTGTATATTGAATCTTCTTGTGACTTCCATGACTTTCAGTTTATTTGTTCAGTAGTGAAACCGCGTTTGGTGGTTATGTTAGTGTTTTCACTGACCCAACTGATAAGTTTCGGCTGAGAACCCTATCTCACTTGTCTTTGAAATGAACTCAAAAGTACCTTGAATGTTTTTAAACGTCCAAGAGAAGCAGAATTATACTGATTGTAGATAACATAATGATGACGTCCACATACAAAAAAAGGCCTTTCTTTTTTTCCTGTAGTCTGTTTTGGCAACACTGCGTGTAGCTGTCGACTCCAGAACAACATACCTGTTAAGGTAATTTTCGTTGCGAGTGAGATGTATTTCTACCTTAATTAAACAAATATTCAAATAAACAAGGAAATTGAATTATTCGGGTATAACGCACGATGATATG